ATATATGTATATACATATATATATATATGGATATATACATACACCAAAAGGTTATATAGTGAGAAACAAAATTAAGTATTTAAATTAGAAAGCTAAAATTATGCACTTGTACATAACTGAATATAATGTCTAGCAGTTTATTAAAATAAAGGTCCTCCAAAATGGGCATTTCAACTTCCTTCCTTTCCATATTGGATTCCTGTCTTCTGTCACTTCCCCTCTAGTTTTTAAGCTAACTTCTTTGCTTACATCTCAATCAGTTCCTTCTTGTATAGCTGTCTCCTTTAGGACCTTACTACATCATGAATTACTTCCCTAGAAAACTTCAGTATTGCTCCTTCTGACAGATCCTTCACATCAATCTGCAATTATGCTTTGGTCTACATTTCATAATGTTCAATTAAATAGACAGCAACACCATTCTCCACTTGTTCAAGCCCGCAATGCAGGAGTCACTGTGATTCTTCTTTGACTTAACCCACACCTAATCCACCAGCAGGCCCTTCCCCAAGCATATCCCATATCTAACCAGGTCTCACCATCTCTATTACTCCTGTCACTCCAGTCAAGGCCACGGGACCTCTAATGTGAATAACAGCAAAAACCTATTTACTGGTCTTCAGCTTTTACTTGCCCCCCAAAATATACGGTCCACACAAAATCCAGAGTGCTCCTCCAAGATGCAAATCAGATCAGGTAAATTTCCTGCTTAAAACTCTCCAACTATGAACTTCCCATTTCACTCAAAATACAATCCATACTCCTTACTCCAGTGGATAGAAGTCCTCGTGACCTGATGCCCGCCTACCTCCCAATTTCACACCGCCTTCCCACTGACTTGCTGACCTCCATCCAATATGTCCAGCTTCTTCTCACCTTAGGACCTTGGCATTATCTAGCCACTGCTTAGAATCCTCTTCCTTACTGGCTATCTTATCTTTCAGATTTCAGAGAAAATCCTGAAGACAGGCCTCTCCTTCACACAACCTGAACTGTGCAGGCACACACAGCTTTTTATGTTACATCCAGTTGTCAGCTCTTCACACAGTCTCTATCAGTGTCAATGTTTTCATTTCTTTGCTTACTTCTTGTCTCCTGACAGACACTCCTGCCTCCACTGAAATTAAGCTCCACAACAAAAGAAAATTTGTCTTGTTCCTTGCTATATCTGACACAGAATAGGCACTCAATAAATACTTGTTGAAATAAATGAATATATACATGCATAAATGAAATCCTAAAACAGGACAGAAATCATAGCAAAATCCTAAATTCTTCTCAAAATCTCTTGGTCTTGCAAATTTCATTTTATTGTCCTATTTCTTCCTTTCCCCTTATCACTAAACTTTTAAAATATATATATAACTTGCTACTTCCATTTTTATCAAATTTGCCATTCATTTCTTCCCTAACTCTTTGTCATCTGTTTTCTATTCCTACATCAGAACACTAAGAAGACTCCCTTGATAGTTACCAAAGAGTCCTAGAACCTGTGTTCAATGACCTTTGTCCAGTCCTCATTTGCCTGTCCCTTTCTGTATCACCTGGCACCAGCTTATCACTCTGGAGTAAGATGGGTCCAGACTCAAAACTTATCTGTATTTATCAGTATCCTGGGAAAGATAACTTACCTTGCTTAGACCTCAGTATTCTCAACGATGACATGAGAAATGGTAGTACTGATTTAACAAGGTTGATATGAGGATGAAATGAAATCAGTACATAATTATCAATATACAATGCACTATATATACACACACAAGAGTGTATATATTATACATTCACATGTACAGATACATATGACATATAGCAAGAGCTCAATAAATGGTGGCCACCATTATGGCTATCAGTTTCACCTATGTTTGGGATTTCAACTACACTACCTCTATGGAAAGGGTTCCCTGAGCCCAACCCCTCCACCACGTCTTCAGTTAGCTGAACCGTGTTTGGCTCCACGAACAGTATTCCCAAGACGAAATTTACATAGTTCCTCTTAAATCTATTGTTCTTCCTACAGTTCTTACTTCAGGTAACATCCTACCATCAACTCAGACTTCCAAGTTCAAAATCTAAGAATCACCTCTGATGTTTCCCCTACCCATGGTCTAATCTCTTTATGAGAAAAAGGAAGTCAACATGTTAAAGGCATGGGCAGCTGAGATGACCGCTAACTGTCAGAGTTCGGAGTGCTATTTATAGAACCTCATCTTTTTAAAACTGAAACGAATTCAGAAGTTCTTCCTCAGAGTCTGCGATGTGCCAGCCACTATAGATGCTAGGAATACCACAGAAAAGAAGACGTATGTTCTGCCCCTATGGACCTGATATTCCAGTATGAAAAAATACAGGCCCTCCCCCAACTGTAAGGAAAGTAACTAAAAGTTAACTAATATATTTGAATTTATTTAATTATGGAAATCCGGTTTTCATCCTATGGCTGAAAACATGCAGAACCGCCTTGAACATCTTGAGAAGCAATCCGAGGGAA